TGTTCGATCCTTTAACCCTGCTGGAATCCATATCCTGTGGTCAGACGCTGCAGTCTGATGGAAGCTATCCTGTGTCAGACGCTTCAGTCTTGATGGAAGTCATATCTGTGTCAGACGCTTGCAGTCTTGCGGAAGTTCATGATCCTGTGTCAGACGCTTCAAGTCCTGCGTAAGTCATATCCTGTGTCAGACGCTTCAGTCTGCTGGAAGTCATATCCTGTGTCAGACGCTTTAGCCCGTGGATTATCCTGTTCAACGCTTTCAGTCTTGATGGAAGTCATATCCTGTGTCAGAACCTTCAATCCTTGATGAAGTCATATCCTGTGTCAGTAACCTTCATCTTGCTGAGAAGTCAATCCTGTGTCAGCTCAGTCTGATGAAGTCATATCCTGTTCAGACGCTTCAGTCTTGATGGAAGTCATATCTGTGCAGACGCTAGTCTTGATGAAGCCACATCCTGTGTCAGTACCTTCAGTCTGTGGTAAGTCAATCCCTGTGTCATAGCTTCAGTCTTGCTGAAGTCATATCCTGTGTCAGAACGCTTCAGTCTGCTGAAGTCTTATCCTGTGTCAGACGCTTCATCCTGCTGGAAGTCTACCTGTGTCAGAACTTCAGTCTTGCTGAAGTCACACCTGTGTCAGACCTTAGTCTTGCTGAAAGTCTATCCTGTGTCAGAACCTTCATCCTGCTGGAAGTCTTATCCTGTGTCAGTAACGCTTCAGTCCTTGCTGGAAGTCACCCTGTGTCAGACGCTTCAGTCCTTGCTGAAGTCACATCCTGTGTCAGACCTTCAGTCCTTGTGGAAGTCACATCCTGTGTCAGACGCTTCAGTCTCTGCTGGAAGTCATATCCTGTGTCAGACGCTTCAGTCTTGCTGGAAGTCACATCCTGTGTCAGACGCTTCAGCTTGCTGGAAGTCTATCCTGTGTCAGATGCTTCAGTCTTGCTGGAAGTCACATCCTGTGTCAGACGCTTCATCTTGCTGGAAGTCATATCCTGTGTCAGACGCTTCAGCTTGCTGGAAGTCTTATCCTGTGTCAGACGCTTCAGTCTTGCTGGAAGTCTATCCTGTGTCAGACGCTTCAGTCTTGCTGGAAGTCATCATCCTGTGTCAGACGCTTTAGTCCTTGCTGGAAGTCACATCCTGTGTCAGACGCTTCAGTCTTGTGGAAGTCAATCCTGTGTCAGACGCTTCAGTCTTGCATGGAAGTCAATCCTGTGTCAGACGCTTCAGCCTTGCTGGAAGTCACATCCTGTGTCAGACGCTTCAGTCTTGCTGGAAGTCACATCCTGTGTCAGACGCTTCAGTCTTGTGGAAGTCAATCCTGTGTCAGAGCTTCAGTCTTGCTGGAAGTCACATCCTGTGTCAGACGCTTCAGTCTTGCTGGAAGTCATATCCTGTGTCAGACGCTTCAGTCTTGCTGGAAGTCTTATCCTGTGTCAGACGCTTCAGTCTTGCATGGAAGTCTTATCCTGTGTCAGACGCTTCAGTCTTGTGGAAGTCAATCCTGTGTCAGACGCTTCAGTCTTGCTGGAAGTCTATCCTGTGTCAGACGCTTCAGTCTTGCTGGAAGTCACATCCTGTGTCAGACGCTTCAGTCTTGCTGGAAGTCACATCCTGTGTCAGACGCTTCAGTCTTGCTGGAAGTCACATCCTGTGTCAGACGCTTCAGTCTTGCTGGAAGTCACATCCTGTGTCAGACGCTTCAGTCTTGCTGGAAGTCACATCCTGTGTCAGACGCTTCAGTCTTGCTGGAAGTCTTATCCTGTGTCAGACGCTTCAGTCTTGCTGGAAGTCACATCCTGTGTCAGACGCTTCAGTCTTGCTGGAAGTCACATCCTGTGTCAGACGCTTCAGTCTTGCTGGAAGTCACATCCTGTGTCAGACGCTTCAGTCTTGCTGGAAGTCACATCCTGTGTCAGACGCTTCAGTCTTGCTGGAAGTCACATCCTGTGTCAGACGCTTCAGTCTTGCTGGAAGTCACATCCTGTGTCAGATGCTTCAGTCTTGCTGGAAGCCATATCCTTGTGTCAGACTCTTCAGTCTTGCTGGAAGTCACATCCTGTGTCAGACGCTTCAGTCTTGCTGGAAGTCACATCCTGTGTCAGACGCTTCAGTCTTGCTGGAAGCCACATCCTGTGTCAGACGCTTCAGTCTTGCTGGAAGCCACATCCTGTGTCAGACACTTCAGTCTTGCTGGAAGTCACATCCTGTGTCAGACGCTTCAGTCTTGCTGGAAGTCACATCCTTTGTCAGACGCTTCAGTCTTTCTGGAAGCCACATCCTGTGTCAGACGCTTCAGTCTTGCTGGAAGCCACATCCTGTGTCAGACGCTTCAGTCTTGCTGGAAGTCACATCCTGTGTCAGACGCTTCAGTCTTGCTGGAAGTCACATCCTGTGTCAGATGCTTCAGTCTTGCTGGAAGCCATATCCTGTGTCAGACGCTTCAGTCTTGCTGGAAGTCACATCCTTTGTCAGACGCTTCAGTCTTGCTGGAAGCCACATCCTGTGTCAGACGCTTCAGTCTTGCTGGAAGCCACATCCTGTGTCAGACGCTTCAGTCTTGCTGGAAGTCACATACTGTGTCAGACGCTTCAGTCTTGCTGGAAGCCACATCCTGTGGCAGACGCTTCAGTCTTGCTGGAAGCCACATCCTGTGTCAGATGCTTCAGTCCTGCTGGAAGCCACATCCTGTGTCAGATGCTTCAGTCTTGCTGGAAGCCACATCCTGTGTCAGATGCTTCAGTCTTGCTGGAAACCACATCCTGTGTCAGACGCTTCAGTCCTGCTGAAAGCCACATCCTGTGTCAGACGCTTCAGTCTTGCTGGAAGTCACATCCTGTGTCAGACGCTTCAGTCTTGCTGGAAGTCATATCCTGTGTCAGACGCTTCAGTCTTGCTGGAAGTCACATCCTGTGTCAGACGCTTCAGTCCTGCTGGAAGCCACATCCTGTGTCAGACGCTTCAGTCTTGCTGGAAGCCACATCCTGTGTCAGACGCTTCAGTCCTGCTGGAAGCCACATCCTGAGTCAGACGCTTCAGTCTTGCTGGAAGTCACATCCTGTGTCAGACGCTTCAGTCTTGCTGGAAGTCACATCCTGTGTCAGACGCTTCAGTCTTGCTGGAAGTCACATCCTGTGTCAGACGCTTCAGTCTTGCTGGAAGTCACATCCTGTGTCAGATGCTTCAGTCTTGCTGGAAGCCATATCCTGTGTCAGACTCTTCAGTCTTGCTGGAAGTCACATCCTGTGTCAGACGCTTCAGTCTTGCTGGAAGTCACATCCTGTGTCAGACGCTTCAGTCTTGCTGGAAGCCACATCCTGTGTCAGACGCTTCAGTCTTGCTGGAAGCCACATCCTGTGTCAGACACTTCAGTCTTGCTGGAAGTCACATCCTGTGTCAGACGCTTCAGTCTTGCTGGAAGTCACATCCTTTGTCAGACGCTTCAGTCTTGCTGGAAGCCACATCCTGTGTCAGACGCTTCAGTCTTGCTGGAAGCCACATCCTGTGTCAGACGCTTCAGTCTTGCTGGAAGTCACATCCTGTGTCAGACGCTTCAGTCTTGCTGGAAGTCACATCCTGTGTCAGATGCTTCAGTCTTGCTGGAAGTCATATCCTGTGTCAGACGCTTCAGTCTTGCTGGAAGTCACATCCTTTGTCAGACGCTTCAGTCTTGCTGGAAGCCACATCCTGTGTCAGACGCTTCAGTCTTGCTGGAAGCCACATCCTGTGTCAGACGCTTCAGTCTTGCTGGAAGTCACATCCTGTGTCAGACGCTTCAGTCTTGCTGGAAGCCACATCCTGTGGCAGACGCTTCAGTCTTGCTGGAAGCCACATCCTGTGTCAGATGCTTCAGTCCTGCTGGAAGCCACATCCTGTGTCAGATGCTTCAGTCTTGCTGGAAGCCACATCCTGTGTCAGATGCTTCAGTCTTGCTGGAAACCACATCCTGTGTCAGACGCTTCAGTCCTGCTGAAAGCCACATCCTGTGTCAGACGCTTCAGTCTTGCTGGAAGTCACATCCTGTGTCAGACGCTTCAGTCTTGCTGGAAGTCATATCCTGTGTCAGACGCTTCAGTCTTGCTGGAAGTCACATCCTGTGTCAGACGCTTCAGTCCTGCTGGAAGCCACATCCTGTGTCAGACGCTTCAGTCTTGCTGGAAGCCACATCCTGTGTCAGACGCTTCAGTCCTGCTGGAAGCCACATCCTGAGTCAGACGCTTCAGTCTTGCTGGAAGTCACATCCTGTGTCAGACGCTTCAGTCCTGCTGGAAGCCACATCCTGTGTCAGACGCTTCAGTCTTGCTGGAAGCCACATCCTGTGTCAGATGCTTCAGTCCTGCTGGAAGTCCACATCCTGTGTCAGATGCTTCAGTCTCTGCTGGAAGCCACATCCTGTGTCAGACGCTTCAGTCCTGCTGGAAGCCACATCCTGTGTCAGACGCTTCAGTCCTACTGGAAGCCACATCCTGTGTCAGACGCTTCAGTCTTGCTGGAAGTCACATCCTGTGTCAGACGCTTCAGTCTTGCTGTAAGTCACATCCTGTGTCAGACGCTTCAGTCTTGCTGAAGTCACATCCTGTGTCAGACGCTTCAGTCTTGCTGGAAGTCAATCCTGTGTCAGACGCTTCAGTCTTGCTGGAAGTCACATCCTGTGTCAGACGCTTCAGTCTTGCTGGAAGTCATATCCTGTGTCAGACGCTTCAGTCTTGCTGGAAGTCACATCCTGTGTCAGACGCTTCAGTCTTGCTGGAAGTCACATCCTGTGTCAGACGCTTCAGTCTTGCTGAAAGTCACATCCTGTGTCAGACGCTTCAGTCTTGCTGAAGTCACATCCTGTGTCAGACGCTTCAGTCTTGCTGGAAGTGATATCCTGAGCAAAAATGCCAATATGTAATGAAGCTCCAGTACCTGCTGTAAGTATTTAAGTGTTAGGTAGAGGGTATGCACCCACTGCGGTGTAAAAAATGATAATAATTACAAAATAACGTGGACCCACCCGGCGTCTCATCTCCATTCTCCTGGGCGGTGGGTTCAGGTGTGCTGGTTCCCGTCGAGGCTCTGCTGTTTTCCTCCTTCTCCTTCTCTTTCTCCTTCTTCTCTTCTTTCTCCTCGCTTTCCTTTTTCTCCTTTACTTCTTCCTTCACTTCCTTCGCTGCCTCCTGCTCCGACATCTGGGGAGAGACAAGGTGTAAATACAAAAAAAAAGTATGAACGAGAACTTGAATGGAACATGAGGACACAAGAAGAGACCGGGAAGGGGAAGGTGAGGGGGAGCAACTGGATGCTGGTGAAAGGCTCTTGATCTGAAGAACTGGAGCTGTCCTACCCTTCCTCGGATCAAACCTAATTGTCTCCTACTTCCAAGGCGTTTCCCATGAACATAATAATATACTTTGTCAAGAGTGCATATTCTTTATATTCTGCAGCGAGTGCCATTAACAGGCATTGTTAATAACGCCAGCACATACATTACATACATTTAAAACAAACAAAAGCACCAAACTATCTCACAGAAACAAAACGCACTTCAAAATAACTAAACGATCACTTAAAACGAAATGGGAAACGTAAGCTGCTTTGAATTAAACCTTCCCCCTTAATTATAATAATAATAATTTGAATTAAACTTTTCCTTGATTATAATAATAATAATCTGAATCAAATCTTTCCCTTGATTATAATAATAATAATAATAATCTGAATAAAAAATCAAACCTTCCCCCTTGATTATAAGTAATAATCATGAATAAAACTTCCCCTTATAATAATAATAATAATCTGAATCAAGCCTTTCCCTTGATGATGATGATTGATAATAATAATAATAATAATAATAATAATAATAATAATAATAATAAATAAGTATTCCCCTGATGAGATCAATACTACTCATATGCACTTTAATTTTATAACTAATGTGTAATGCAAATACTTATATTTATCAATTAATAATTTAGTATATTTTCGAATAATAAGCAATACATAATAAAAAAACGTTACATTGAAATATAAATTCAGGTGTATTCACTCTTAGGAGTCCTATTTCTATTTTTAATATGAAGTTGATAGTTGTAGTGGTAGGAGTGAGCAGCAGCAAATACACAACAGTACAATAGCAGTAACATCACAATACAGCAACAGTAGAATGCAGGTAATCACAGCAATACAGGACAGTTTCCAGATGCATGTAACATCAGCAATACAGGCAATGTAGCAGATGCAGTAACAGTCACAATACAGCAACAGTAGCAGATGCAGTAACATCAGCAATACAGCAACAGTAGCAGATGCAGTAACATCAGCAATACAGCAACAGTAGCAGATTCAGTAACATCAGCAATACAGCAACAGTAGCAGATTCAGTAACATCAGCAATACAGCAACAGTAGCAGATGCAGTAACATCAGCAATACAGCAACAGTAGCAGATTCAGTAACATCAGCAATACAGCAATAGCGGTAACAGTACTTGTGGCAGTAGCTGCAGCAGCAGCAGCGACAGCAGCAGTTGCAGCAGCAATAGCAACATAGCTGAAGCAACAGCTGCAGCAGAAGCAACAGTAAGTGAACTTTAAACCAGGTTCAGGTTGAGTTAGGCTGAGGTAAGTTACGTATAGCACATTTATGTTTAGCTAGGTTATATGTAAGTTTGAAGACGCGGGTTCACAGCTAAAAGGGTAAGACATCTGCATGCATTATGGAAACAAGATTTCTCTTATAATAAGTACGTTAATAAGTTTATTCAATAAAACATATTTTATTATTATAATTATTTTTATTATTATTTTACATATGGATTACAAAAGTGCCTGTCTTGAATCTCTCTCAGCCTAGATTTTGGGGGAGGTTTAAATTATATTTAGAATAGGATGTATACTGACAGGTGTATATCTTTGAGTTTATATATACTGAGAGTTTAGTTTAATCTGTATTTTATGGATTAAAGTATTCTTAATTGCTGGTGAACAAATAACATGCAGTCTTTATGACCCGTGTGAGGTCGACAGGCTTAAACCATTACATTTAGGTTAGGATATAGTGATGACGGGTGAAAACGTTGGGCATATTTCCTTACCCCTACTGCCCCTAGTAAGGACCTGGGTGTTAGTCGACTGTTGTGGGTCGCATCCTGGGGGAGGAGTTAGTATGCCTTAGATAGGGCTGGGCCTTGAAATGAGCTGTAGGATAACAGCTCTTATCCTCTTAAATTTATTTGGGTTTCAGATTAAAAAGTTAGTCGCTAACTCTACGGTGTTACACAGCCGTATTTCATATACTCCGCCCAGCATTATTACCACCACCATCCAGTTTCTACCGCTGTTACCACCACCACCACCACCACTACAATTACCATCATTTCAACGGTTTGAACTATTCACGTCATCCTATCCACCAGGGCCATTATGAAGTGTAGACAGCGACAGTGACGGGTGGATGACGTTGGGAGTGACAATGGTGTTAAAGGTGATGTGATGATGAAGGACAGTTGAGGAAGTTAGTATGGTCCGGTAGAACACACAACAAAGGTCCCTTTCCCCCCTCACCTTCTGCCATTAGCGAGCTCGCGTGTATGTGTAAGTTTATGTGTACGTGTGTGTTTTACTCACCTAGTTGTTCTTGTGGGGGTCGAGTTTCGGCTCCTGAGTGCGTAGTGACCTATTTATAGCTGCAATATCAGAGCTATGCTAGTGTTGCCTCATCTTTAGTTTATTATCCTCTTGTATTCCTGTACCTTTCTGTCACATCATTCTCTACATGCTTCTTTTTATAGATGTATGTCAAACTCTCTCTCTCTCTTGCAATCACCTGGGAGGACACGTAGTCTCACAGTTAAAGGTCAAGAGGAGTCGGACACTTCAAGAGGTCACCTTGACATGACCACGTATCTACCTTGATCCAGTGTCTTCGTGTCAGACACTACAAGAAGTTACCATGATATGACCACGTGACTCCTGTGACTCAGTGTGTCCCTGTGTCTCGAGCAGCACGCACTAACAGGACAGAAACATGAAAGATTGTTGTAACTAAAAACAAAGCCAAGGGGAAATCTGCTACGGCATACTCCGTAATGACGATATAATCCAGAGTGACGGTATAGTCCAGTGACGATATAATCCAAAGTGACAGTATAATCCAGTGACGATATAATCCAGTGACAGTATAATCCAGTGACGATATAATCCGTCGTGCCTATATATAATACACCGGCATTCATTCTGGTGTAAATGAATGTAATAGAATCAAATATGACGTAATTAGATGCTGCAGAATCCAATACTCAGTAATTCAATCTGACATATTCCAATACGATGTAATCTGAGGCTTGCGGTAAAGAATTTTGTGAAATGTGAGTAAAGAATCCGATACAGGAGAACATTACACTGTGTAAGCAGATAAAAAACTGACGTGTCTAAATATATTGCTATTAATTAAATCCAATGTCTGAAATGTCTAGTAAAGTTCCACTGATGTCTCATTGAGCAGATGTTATTAACTTTGAGATATGACTTTGGGTGTAAATATTGTAAGTACTATTTATTAGAGTGGTGCTCAGAGCTACGTAATCTCAAATTTGACAGATTTTACTGCGTCATATATAAAAACCATAAAGTATGACAGGAGAACGTAGTTAGCTCTTGTTACCACAGCGTAAATACCACGCAGAAAATTGTAGCCGCAGAGTGCGGCTCCTGCCACAATGTAAATTTTTTATTTGACTTCCAGCCGTCTCCCACTGACGTTGGGTCATCTTAATGCTGTGGAAAGGTTTGAAACGATTGTGTTTAAGGGTAGAGACCTTTACTCTGAGAGGGACGCCACTCTCCCTAAGGGGTGCTTTCCTGACTAAGAAGCCAGCACCTTGTCTCGCATAGATAATAGGGATATTTCCATTTTCCTAATCTGTTCTATCCTCTCAACATGTCCAGGCCACCTCAAAAACCTCTATTCCGCCCTATGAATTATTCCTTTTGTAATCCCGAACTGTTTTCAAATTTCTACGATCCGAATACTTTGCCTAATATCCGCGCTATACATTGCTCTCAAACAGGTTATCTCCTTTGCCTACAGCCTCCTCATAGTTACATTTAAAGCTCATGACTCATACTCACAGTATCAGATACTCCGAAAAAAATTCTCTATTACCTCCATAGATAAATTTTTTTTCCTACCACAGACGCCGCAACTTTTCACTTACCTTTTTTTTTCTCGTCTATTCTGTGATTCACTTCAGGTTTTACAGACCAACCTGCCAACATGTTCCCTTCCAAATATCTAATATTATACAGAATAAGGTAGCCGCACTCTGCGGGTGTTCTCGCAACGTAACTGTCACATAGAATACAGTAGCCTTACTTTATGGGTGTTCTCAAAACGAAACTATCCCATAGAATGGGGTAGCTACACTCTGAGCGTCTCACAACGTAATTATCATATAGAATAACGCGGTCATATACTGCAGGTGTATTCATCTCCTAAATACAGACAATTATTGCCTTCACATTAACTACCTGGGCTCATTAGGTTGTCATCACGTAACAAAATAGCTCCTTTTGCCTTGTTTACTCTCCTTGCCAGTTAATTAATGGAGGGGAACCAAGTAATACTGGGTGGTGCGGTGGGTGGGGAAGCAGGAGCACAGGATACACCACGGAGGAGGAGGAGGAAGAGGAGATGGAAGAAAATACATACAGAAAAAAAGAAACAGATTGCGGGGAAAGAAAACGGTAGATTAAGTCTTTGTTGGTGAGGAAGACAGAAAATGGAGAAAAAAAGAAACAAAGAAATAATCATATACTAATAAAACATTAGTCTCCAGGAGGCCACTTGTGTCCCTTATGTTTTACCTTCTCTTACATTCTCTTATATTCCCTCTTATGTCCTCCCTTCTCTTCTCATGCCCTCCCTTCCCCTCTTTTGTCCTCTCCTCCCAACTACAATGTTTATATTTTCATGATATCTGTCCTGTTATTGTTTGCTCCTCTTCAAGTTCCGAGTGTGAGGCAGTACCACCATCTGGTGTCTTGCCTTCTCTAATATCAACGTGTTCTACCCACCTACGGAACACTCACCATGTATTATATTAAAACAAATGTGTCTTACAGATCACACAGACATCTGTGTCTCGTAGACAAAGATGTCTGTGTAGACTCCACCCCAGATCAGCCAGACAAGAAAAATGTTCACATCCGAC